TCATGCGGGGTGTGGCACGTGGTTTGACGATACGAGTGCGTCACTTACACCTTCACCAATCAATCTGCAATCCACCATTTGATATCATTACCACGGTCAACAGCGAATCATGCGATTGTCACGGTTTCTCACTTATCCAGTCATCTTTTCAACGCCAATGTTTGTATTAAAAAATTGTTCCAACATCTCGATGCCACAGTATTCCGATACTTTTGATCTGACTGGCTTGCAGCGGTATGGCCAAAGGTTGTACGTCAAGGCAAAAGGTCATGGCTAGAGGATTGCGGGCCGAGGCTTAAGAATTGCGGGCTTTGGCTTACGCTTGATAGGAAAAGGTGTAGTTCATGTTCATTTTCCGCCCGGGTCCGATTTTGATACCCGTTGATATTTGCGTTGTTAACGTCCACGCTGCCCTTGGCCTGCCACGTAACCGCCTGGTCGTTCGCTTGACACACACAGATCTTCGTTTGACTCACTTCACTTCGTGTGCACCCTGATTTTCTTCATCTGATTGGTTCCCCTTGTGAGCCACTTGCGCCACACCCGTGCACTCGCGCACATACACAGCATGCTCGTCGGTCCACAAACACCTCTCAGTCCCATTCGTATACGCCCCGACTTTTTTCGTCCGATTGGTTCCTTTCTTGAGCGGCACGCCACTGTTATCTCTTCTCTTTTCTACACATGTATCACGTGTTTATCTCAGACATATTCCGCTTTTGAGTACTGGTGACTAGGTTCACTGGCACTTTCGACACAGCCCGGCGCCGTTTTACACACTTTGGACAGCCGAACATTGTCTTTCGCACCTTGAACACAACCATACGCTGTTTTCCGGCCCCTTAGTATGCGACGATTTTATCTTGATAAATCTTCACCAAAAGACGCACAATCACACCGAACGTGGATTGACGGTGCACGGTATTACATCCGGACTCCTGACAATTCGACGTTTGTACATTTTGCAATCTTATCGCAATTTATCTAGTACTACCATAGTATCACCAGTGTATGGGGTGTCTGAGAGGAGCACTTCTGAGTTGGTTGACTGTCGTGTCCCTTGGGGCATCCTCCATCTCTTTGGTCTCCATCATTCACCCAACTCTCACCTGTGGCTCCACGAAGCTGAAGCATGCATCAGCGGCCACACCCCGGCAAACCGCTCGACAGGCGGGCTAAACCAGGTTGAGGGTTACCGAAGTCTAAAAAACTTCGGCGAGACAGTGTTCGGCATGTGAAGACAGATCCTTCTGAATAAGCGGACGAGATCTACTGATCCAACGGCCACAAAGGAGACCTGTTCAACTGCTTGATCCGGCATTCCAGAGGAGGCGAACGAACCGTACAGCAGGTCACCGGCTCCTCTGGAAACACCCTGCTGCCTTGCAGTCTGCACTTGGGTGTGTCAAGGGCTAGAGGTGCAACCTCGAACAAAAAGGCCGAACGGTGCTGGGGACACCGCTTCGTACCCTACTCCCGCGACTCTCTATGATTACTCACGAAACCTCAAGCGCTCATCATGCTACGGCGTCCCCGGTAAGCGACGCGCCTCGTGTCCCGGCGGTCGAGGTGATAAGACAACAAGCTGGGATTATTCGCTGCAGGAAAAGAACACACATAGCCTGTTGGAATGTTAGGACGTTTCTAAACGTCGGCAGTCAGTGCATCACAATGCGAACTCTACACGACTATGACGTAGATATTGCTTGCCTCTCGGAAGTCCGCCTGCCCAACTCAGGTAGCCGACAAATAAAGGTCCCGGGTGTGGATACATCCTACTGGCTCTATCACAGTGGCCCGAAAGACAACTCCGGTCTCTACGGTGTCGCGTTCGCTCTGAACAAAGCAGCTAATGATGCAATGATCTCTTGGGAACCCGTCTCATCCAGACTCGCCTTGGCACGTTTTAAGGGCTCCCCGCACGACTTGACGGTGATCGCGATCTATGCTCCAACCAATTCAGCTGATGACGAAAACAAAGACGAATTTTACACTAATTTGCAGGAGGTAATCAACCGGGTTTCGAGGCGCGATGTACTTTTCATCGCAGGAGATTGGAACGCTCGCACAGGTACGGCCGACGAATCTACTCGCCATATTCTCGGGAGATTCGGCCTTGGTCAACGCTGCGAGAACGGTGGCCGACTGATTGGTTTAGCCGACATCAACAGAATGGTTGTCTGCAGCACTCGATTTCAACACCCCAGGAAGCATCTACTCACATGGTACTCCAATGATGGTCACACTGCACACCAACTCGACCACATCCTGGTGAGAGCCCGTTGGGCCTCGTCTGTGGAGGATTGCCGAGCGTACCGAGGTGCAAAAACGGGCAACACAAACGGCACCGACCATGTCCTCCTACGCTCATGCTTCAAAGTTCATCTGTCCACACGTGCTAAAGTGTCTGCACCCTCTCGGATAAACGTTGCTGCCCTAGGAAATCCAGAGAAGCGAGAAGCGTTGTCACGAGCAATCACAACCCGACTAACCAGCGCAACCAATGCACAGGCAGATGAAGTTTCTGTGGGAGGGCAGTGGACTCGAATGATGACGACAATCAAGGAAGCTTCTTGGACAGTACTCGGGAGAACGAAAAGGCGGACAAAGGATTGGATCTCGGAGAGCACGCTCCAGCTGTCAACCAGAGCACACGAAGCGCGACTGGCAGGTAGTAACGAACGCCGCAGACTGCAACGAGAGGCCACACGCTCCGCCAAGGCTGATCGCATAAGATACTGGATAGAAATAGCCGAAAAAATGGAGACCGCGTCCGGAATTGGTGACTTCGGTAAACTGTTCCGCCTTATTCGCAGCGCCTCTAATAGGTTTTGTAAGCAAGATTCCCTTCTTCGTGACACGGCAGGAAACTTAATACCTGAACAGAGCAAGAAAATGGACCGATGGGTGGAATACTTTTGTCAGCTGCTCAACCGGCCTACGGACCACCGGACGGACCAACCAATATCAACCCCTCCAGCCCAGTACGAAAGCAACCGTGACCCGCGAAACACCGCGGAAATCACGGAAATGATAAACAAACTGAAAGACAGAAAGGCTGCTGGGGAAGATGGCATCCCTCCAGAAGTGTATAAAGCATGCTCATCGTCATTGATTGACAGGTTGTGTACACTTTTTGGTTCCATTTGGAGAGCAGAAGCATTTCCACCGGACTGGGGAATGTCCATACTGCTGCCCATTCCGAAGAAAGGTGATAAGTCGGCATGCGAGAACTACCGAGGGATCAGCCTGATCGATGTGGCCGCAAAGATCTTTGGTTCGTTGTTACTAACCCGTTTTTCCGAGGCAAGAGACCAGCGCACTCGCCCGAACCAAGGGGGTTTCCGCCGTGGCAGAGGCTGTGTGGATCAAATCTTCACACTGAGCCGAATACTGGAGCACCGCTATAAGTTCCAGCAGCCGACGGTAGCTTGTTTCATCGACTTCCGGGCAGCTTTTGATTCGATGAACCGCGAGTCTCTTTGGACCATAATCCAATCCGATGGAATGCCCGATAAGCTTTTAAGGCTGTTAAGGGGATACTACTCGACAACCGGTGCTAGGGTTCGTATGTACGGTGAAGAGTCCCGCGAGTTCACACTCACTACCGGAGTTAGGCAGGGCTGTCCCCTCTCACCGGTGCTGTTCAACTACGCCATCGATTGGACAATGCGACAGGCATTACACAACTACCCTGGCATTCAGCTTAGCCAGGAAATATACATCTCGGACCTGGAGTTCGCGGATGATATTGTCGTGCTTGGAGACTCTCCCGTTACGCTACAACCAATCCTCGACCGAATCAATTCCTTCGCGAGGTCCATCGGACTTGAAGTAAACTCGACCAAAACAAAGGCTTTCACAACCCATCTGGGCCCGACAATTCAACAACTGTCGATGAATGACCAACCAGTCGAATACGTCCCTTCATTCAAATACCTAGGCTCAACTCTGCTTCCGAACGGCCAGGCAAAAGATGAAGTGGTATTACGGATCGACAGCGCCAGGAGGGCCTTTCTTCAGCTAAGACGAACGCTGTGGACTCGCAGTGAAATCAGCTTAAGAACCAAAACTCGTGTTTACCGTGCTGCCATCCGGCCCGTACTCATCTATGGCTGCGAAACCTGGCCACTACGAGCTGAGGATACCAGAAGGCTGGAGGTTTTCGACCACTGGTGCCTGCGGCAAATCCTCAAAGTCAAGTGGCGCGACAGGGTGTCCAACGACGAGGTAAGGAGACGATGCTGTGATATCGATGCTCTCCCCGTCCTCCTCCAACGTCGACGACTTCAGTGGTTCGGCCATACGCTTCGGCGACCCGAGTCGGAGCTAACCAAGCAAACACTCTGCCCTACTCCCTGCCCTGGTTGGCGTTGTCGCCTTGGTGGGCAGCTCAAAACGTGGACCAGTACAATCGAGAAAGACGTAGAGCTTCTAGGCCTTCGGTCAGTCTATGGAGCCCGGCGATGGAAAAAGGACTGGATCAAGATCTGTACGGAGCTCGCTTCCGACCGCCGCGCGTGGTCAGCAATGATTCGTGATATCCATGGAGCCGACTTATCCTCTCGCAGGAGATAGTCGCGTAAAAGTAAGTAAAGTATCACCAGACATTCTTGTTCTCTGTCGCCGACGGTTCCAGGATTTAACGCGTAACTCGATTAATCCCGCTAGATTTCACTCGTGAAATCTACAAGTGGGAACTCATATGTACACTAGAACAATTCATGAATCAGTTTTGTCCCAGCCAAGGTTCAAATCGTAATGAAACTGACATCTTCACAGTTGGATCAGCCTAAATGTAAAATCTCAGCTGTGCAAATCCAAAAAACCTGGATTAGTAGTCAAACGGGCAGCTTCTTTCATTGTTCTTATCTGAATGGGTATCCCTGCCAAATGGTGTTGAAGGAAACAACAGAAATCGAGAAATCGGGAAACATTCCGTGCGAGAGGAGTAGGTGTGTATTTGTGTGATCAAATTTTAATAAACTGCTCAGGGCAGATTAAGGCATGACACCGGAAAACTGTTGCAACACAGATTGGATGATCTCTTGAACCAGGGATTCACGATTGGCGTATGTGACCTGTCAGAAATCACCAAACTCTAATGATTAATCACAGATTGACAGACTTAACAGATGAATGATTATCTCCAATTTACAAGGTTAACTCTTAAATATTTCGGAAGTATTCTACAAATGGGTTTGCAAGCTATTATTTTATCCAATTTTGGAAAGTGAAGAAACCGGCAGAAAGTCCAAACTCGGGACTACAGGCATGACTAACGCAGCCAACAAAAAAACGTCAAAATAATGAGTCACAAAATTGATTTATATGTCCTCTTGAGTATTGTTTAGGGTGGGAGGTGAAGTTTTGACCCGCATGATGATGGGCTGAGAACTGTTTGATGTTCTCGACTGATGCACCTCAGAAACCGTGATCGGAAAAGTGACATCACGGAAAAAGATACTGAGCGCCACTGCATGGAAATTAATGAGTGCGTGTGGTCTAAGAATATCGTTGGCATTGACGATGGATACACTTGCGGCACAAAACTGACGTCGATACGTCATGGACAGGTCAGCCTGATGCATCTTCAACCGCTACTCGTCCCGGTAAATGATGCACTGTCAAGAATTCTATCCATAGGTCTATATCGTTTCAGTCAACGGAATTCGATAGGATTCAGTACCCATTCCAATGACTAACGTTCATTGGTTAATCCACTGAACCCAACAGCAAAACTGTCGGCTCAAGGAGACTTGAGCTTTACTTATTTTAAATCAATGTCTTGGAGACCTTTGAGAGGATACGCTATTTCATTAGTTACGAAATTTTAGAGGACCAGTGAAACAGGACGACAAAAACCACTTGTTTCGAATGAGATGACGCATACCTCTTCGGAAGAGGGATGAACAGAAATGTTGTCTGGCCAACAGAATGAAACACTGTTGATGTTGACGAAAACTACGGCCGTCGGACGACGATGTGCTTAACGTAGTTCCAGCAATATATGGAAGGTAAGGATCTCACGAGAACCTGAAAGGAATCCGCTCTTCGAAGAACCTCTCGTGAAGTGGTATAAATTGGTGAAGAATCGCGCGGTCAGCACAGGTTCAAAACCTTGCCATGGTGGTTGTCACGTTCCCCACAGGTTTCTTTCTTAACTACAAGGACAATCAATGATGACGGAACGGATTCTTCGTTTTAGGTGTCGCGTAAGAGACTTGTAATGGACTCCAGTAGGGAGTCACTACATATTTGGAAAGAACTGAAGGTGGGGGTTTCCATATTGAATGTCTTTCCCGGACGCAGCGCTCGGATGCAGAACATACTTTCGCTTTCGTAGGTAGTTCATGGGATAACTCCTGAAGAGCTTCGGCTGGTGATGACGAGAAGTGCATTAGCATTTAACAAGCTGAATTAGCCCTTAGAGTACTCCATCCACCAATAAGCACCAGAAAGGTTTGAATTGAGGACATTACATGTGTATTAAAAAGGAACAGTCATATTTCCCATCCTACAGCGAGGCAGAGAAGCTAAATCTCATGACTATTGCTTCGTTCGTTGATGCTGGGTAAACTGCGCGGTTTTCCACAATTCCATAGCACTGATTCTGGCGAGAATAATATATTTTCTCAAAACTGTCTGACTGTGGTAATTTTACGGTTTCATTATTCCAATTAAAATCGACTTCTTTGCGCCATTCTGTCATTAATATTATACCATCCGTTTCACTACTTTCGGACTAATTTAAAAGGTGGTTGAACTTCTGGTCAGAGGCCCCTATATAAATTGTGAGGACTTTGGTCAAACGATAATACAAAGTCGAACTGAAGGTCTTGTAGTCGGAGTTCCTCCTTGTGCTGAGTTGTATTCTATGGACCGGGATTGACGGAGTTTTGGATCGATAAGGAGGTTGGAAATACTTGCTTCCCGACACAAATTTGAATAGAAAAAGTGTAAACCAATCTTCCTAGCTTTTCTATTCTGATAGGGAGGTTGACCTAGCAATTATCGTTGGGACTTTTACCATTTTGGTGCCTTATCGACTGATTACGCGGAAATACAATGAATGCTAAAATTGCGAGTAGTTCGAACGCAGAAATGTAGATAAAAGGGGAGGATTTTCTAAGGAACTTACATGCAGAACAAGCTTTCTAACAGTGTATATTATACAGGACTTTCCAAACAGTGTTTCTCGGTCGTGAGTGGTGCTGAGACTTTTAGTGGTCTGCTTTAACATCTCTACAATGTCTCTAATTAGATGGTAACAAATCTTCTGATGTTTAACGACAGTGAATCAAACTTGGCAGCAACTCTCTGTTCGAAACCCGAGTTCCTTGCTGAATACTGAGCGCATTGTCATCGTGAAATGATTTATAGACTGCCTTGTCTTTGAAGAGGGATCACATGGCGACCGAATACACCGTCGGATTTAATTAAAGTATTAATCTCTCTGATACCACAGGTCATTTTCAATATCGGTGGAGAGTAAGCCGCATTCCGCACAGTTTATCGTCCGCACAATCAGGAGGTAATATCTGACATTTTGTACGAACATGTGATCAACCACAACACATCAAAAAAAACAGTCACATAAGAACTGATGAGAGATATGCTTTGTGTTTCATCACTGAAACATCGTATAGCATCCCCTCATAGATTCCTTGCCCTAAGCGCAAAGCAGACGTTAAGTTAGGCTTGTTTAACTTATATACACGATACGGCATCCAGACAATCACAGAGGAGCGGGATCACAAAATTGATACTTACTTCAAATATTCGAGCCTGAGGATGGGTGCACAAGTCGTCCACAAGTCTAATTCCACGACGTGAATCCTTTGACCCTCGCGGTGAAGGTACGGTGGCTAGCAGAATTGTATTTTGCGATTCAGCCATCCGAGCCAGTAGTTTTTCCAACCGACCAGCAAATATTGGACAAAGCAATTCCATTTTGCCAATCTCATCGATGACACAAACAGCGGGCCGTTCGCTGGAGGAATTGGATGAGGTGTTTAATTTGTCCAATACTGACTACACAGAAATAAAGATGAGATGCAACTTTTTCACTCAACTGCTACATGAAACATCTTTGCTGGGACGTGAACAAGTTCTTCGGCCGCCCTGCATAAACATAAGCAACTAGGCAGCCGCACATTTCGTCTTCATATATGACGTGAAAAAAACGAGGAAAACACTGAGAAATCCAATCTGGCTTAATGTGTGGATTTTTTCAAGTACGGTTTTGCACAACAGTCACCTTGCAATTCCAGATAATTCATGAGTTACAAAAGCCTGTCTTTTGACTCTGATTACTTCTGAGGCTGGGTTTTGGTCCTAACCGGTAACAAGACCAAAAAGCCCATCAACTTACGAAGGTGCAGAACAAACTCAACACAAAGTATTCTAACGCTCATAAATAGCTTCCTATTCAGGAGGAAGTTTGCCTACCGTGTTATTTGTGAGTCTCGGAAGTGGCATTAGACAAATAATCATCGTAATGCAAGGCCGATCTGTATCAGGTATGCAGCATGGCTCAATACCTCTGCCTGTCTCTCCGGGTGGCAGTTGAAAGAGACCGGCGGTGATTAAGACGGTCATCACGGTGGTGGTTGGCTTCTGGCCCTTCTGTCCCGGGTTCGAATCCTGTCTCGTACTGCCGTCGACGCCCGTCACTTCCGCAATTGGCAGCTTTTGTTGGGCGACGATTCCCCTCCTGAAATATTGCGGTATGTGTAAAGGTAGCGGCTGATGTACGGCCAACACGCAGACTATTCTTCCTGGCACGCCAACGTCATCACTGAGTCATGGGATAGGCAAACACAACCTGTCCCGCATCGAGCCAAAGGCTTGAGACAACGGAACACGAGCGACAGGGTGGTCGATCAGTGGCATGGATCAACAGCACGAGATGAATTCTATCAAGCGATCTTTAGCCTGAACACCAGTTCATTAGATGGCTTGGTCGCCCGCACTAATCGGACCAATAGGCTTTATGCAGTAGCTGGGTACAAGGATTAATAATCAATAATCACTGTTTTAAGCTAGTAAAACTGAAGTATTTGCGAGCAGAGAACCTTTGTTCCTGATTACGATGGATCAGCGCTAAACATTATTATTACATAATAAAAATTAAATAAAACGATAAAAACAATACTACTGAACAAATGAGCATCCGTTCATTGAAAGAAGAACGTTGTGGACAAACTATCCTATTGCTCGAAGAGGTGAAATTTTCCCTTGAAGAAATCAGCCTCATTTACCAAATGACCACATAAAGCCACGCACTTCATTGAGACGTACGCAATCGCGTCACTGAATAAAACTACGACTGTTTAACCCATCGAATTGGGTAGGACATGGTCCACTGGTCACTGATCGGTCTTTTGAAGTCAGTTAGGAATCCCCATCTGGCGTGGTCCCATATGAAGGGAATATGAACTGCTCGGGTGTTTACCGGTCACTTGTCGGTCGATTTGGTTCACCCCCCGACTACTGAACCTGAGGTAAGAGATTCGAACCGTTGCACCGACGATCGAATCTGGTGGTGGACAGTCCTTGTCACCAGGCGTACCACCAAACCTGACCTATCTATCGTGCCATATTCTTGGTTTCTCACTTTCTATCCAAAGGTCAATAATGTATGTTTTCTCATAACATGTTGCATCCTTGTGGTTATCGAGCATGACACTTCCGCTACATTCGTGCGAAATCATGTAAAAAGGGGAAAATGTACTGTACGGTCTGGAGGTGGAGTCTCAAAAGTGCTGTTCACTACTATGAATTCCAATTCTTCTTCCCACATCAAATCGGGTAAACGTGAAAGAAGGGAAACTTTTCTTCAGTGAGAGCGTGACTACAAAACCCACAATCCAGAAAAACCACATGGCATATTACATGTGATTGTACCCTAGATCCAATAGTAATTAAGAACACTACTATTAGGAACTTATCGAAATCATAGAAATCAGAATACTTTCAAGGAAGCTATGGAATTTTTGACCAGAAATACCAAAAAAATGTTGGTGAAATCGCCCAGTTAATGATCAGTGAATCGATAAATTGATCTATCAGCTGAGTTATCGCATTACGGCCGGCTCGACGCGAATAACGCAAGTGAATATCTATTCCAACTATTCCCACGATACACAGCAACTGTTCTGGTTTTAGTCACAGGACTAGGCTCGTCGGTCACTTCTAAATAGGACGAGCATTACACAGCTGAACGAGATCAAAATGAAAACCTAATAAATTTGTAGAATTCATTGATGATACCAGAATGGTTCAGATAATGAATTATCCACTAACACACTCCGCACCCCAAAGTCCACGTCGTAAGTCGGAATCGAATTGGCGTGAACTTTTGGATACGTAAAATGCAAGTGGATTTTCGATTACTTACGCCATTCGGGCTCCTCCTGTCTTCATAAATTCTAAAAACAGAGTTGCCCCGCGAAGAGAACCTATGTTAATAAAGCCAAACTATTTCAAACATCGATAATACCGAGTGATTGAGTATAAACCTACAGTTTATACGATTGCTGTTTTTTCTCACTGCATGTTTTTGCATGACTGCAGAGGAAGGGGTATACCCGTAGCCTCGAAGGCTCACTGCAATAACAATGATAACTGGCAACCAGACCCTAAGGCTTGGAGTTGATGATCACAAAGTCCTAGTGTGGTGGTGTGTGTATGCTACTCACTGAACAAGCAAGTAGTTGATAGCTAGAGACGCAATTAGGGACAGTTGTGGATTGATAACGAACACGACTACGCCAGAGGAAGCAGGCGCAATAAGGTAAAGGAATGCATGTAAACCACACGATTGCATCCTCCGACTAGATAACGACTGCTCTTAAGTGAACTGTGCCGCTGGAATGCAAAATAAGCATTGTTGTTTCATGTGAATGATTTCGCTGACTTCCGAACAAGTGGTTTCCATTAAACAACTTATTTACCAGGTACGTCTTCTGGACTATAACACCAGTAGGTCAGACATGGTAACGAGGTGGGTGACAGCGGATATCTGTCTACCACAAAAAAGGCGATTGGGAGTCAGTTCAGAAAGCCTACCGATGAACGTGTGATTAACAGTTATGCTACCCGAATTTAAGTCAGTGACGGAACTGCATTGGACGGTTTCTAACACGTCTGATGAAGTATGGTTTTCAATAGTGAACTGAGCGCCGACAGTTAGTGTTGAATTATCCCATGGATTACTAAAATTCATTGGACACCTACTACCGTAAAAACGTTAGGATGGGAAGAAAAATCGATACAAACGAAACAAGACTGATTTCACGACGAAGAAGAATGTCTTCCGACCATCTCATTATTACGTGTTCTCCGATATTATCACATTTATGCATTCTGTGATACTTAGGAACAATCAATAAGTAAGTTCAACCTCTTGCAGATGGTTATGCAAAAGCCGATGTAACCCACATTGGACCATGAAAAGGAGAGAAAAATGTATAAAGCTGAGACGACAAAAATAAAGATTTCCAAGCTCTAGGTAGAGAAACCACGTACTTAATTCCAACGGTTAGAACAAAACCCACTAGAGTAGAGAACAAGTGATATGTCATGTGATGTGAAAGGTGATGATCAAGTCATTTAGTGCGTTTGCTGACCATCTCGGAGGTCAGAGGTTAGAATCCCCCCACCACCGACGCTTAAGTGTTATACAGCAATCCACTGTCGTCCAACTCGGTACCACACCTGACCTATTGGGATCTGATGTGGTTCTCCATTCCAACCTAATGGTCTGGTTAAAAGCTATCCGTAACGGTGCAGCGGGCTTTTGAGGCTATGCGGTGTACCCATACCACTGCACTCATGCTCACACAGGTAATGAAGAAAATGTTTAACAGCCAGCAACAAAACGTTGTCCGTGGGGATTCTATTTAGCAGTCGTCTTCATTACCCGGTACGGATTCGCTTGCAATCCTGGCTTAAAACAAGCCACGGATAACTTGTTACTGACAGCTAAATATAAATAAATAAGGTGTGATATATATATATATTTATATATATATATATATATATATATATATATATATATATATATATATATATGCACACGACCGGTTTCGCGGTGGTTGTCGCTCACAAGGTATGCTCCCGGGGAAATTCTGTCTACACGTTTACATACTACTTACTATCAATATGAGCGCTTGCACATGCAGCCTCGTTGCTCGTTGGCTAGCAATGACTCAGACACGAATAACTATGAGAAATCACAGTTGTGATTCATTTGTGGGCTCCTCAATGAAGAGTGTCCATTTACACTCCAGACGATTCAAATTAGATTCTAGTGAATATATATATATATATATATATATATATATATATATATATATATATATATATATATATATATATATATATATATATATATATATATATATATATATACAACACCAGCTTAAAATCAAGCATAGTGCCAACGCGGCGACAATTATTACAAAAACAGAAAAAGGAAGTAGAGCACAATAAAAGTATCAAAGCTAAACTCAATATTAGAAATCACGAAAGCACTCCTTGTACAGCTCTCTCTGTTTCAGTTGACTTGTTAAGAATCATCATCATCATCGGCTGCAGTGCTCATCCACCGAGCCCCCACGGGAACTCAAACCAAAAATGGACGAGCGAGTCGAGCACCTCATCGCAAGGCTACCCGGATGGCTCTCAAAGGTTTGTCCAAAATCATTTGGGGCTCGGTGGATATGCAGTGCTGATTATCCCGAGTAAGAATAAACAGCTGTACAGCATTTCCATAATTTTAAATGGTGAGCTGCGTGTTGGTACTGCTTGGTGGATCATATCATATGTAAGTCAAATGTCCTGCTACTCATATTGAAAAATATAACTAATTATATGACTTGACGATAATTACTGCTGGAGTCTAATTTAACAAAGTACATCTCTTTGAAAAACTTATCGATCGACAATAGTAAGCAGAGACGGTACGACACTTTACTACCGTGCACGAAAGTTGAAAGTGCTCGTGAGTGAGAAAAACTAGAAATAAAAAAGCGGCTTCGCGTGTGTTCCGGCAAAATTTCAGTTCAGTCCAGTTCATTTCTGTTGTCCTGTTCCGTTTAGTTCAGTTTTATCCATCAGTAAGCTCGCGCTTCGGTGTTGTACTTTAACTTGCTACGACTAGCCGGGAATGGAATACTTCGTAGCATAAATGATAGATAAACAAAAATGAGAAAGACAAGTAGAGTAAGAATTTCGGAAGTCAGTGCAATGGTGAGCGTGACAACTGACCAGGTTGTCTAGTGTCTCCAAACATCCTACAAGCGCACCTTATAGGTCCCAAACTCAACGGTGTCACATACTCAAGTGCCGAACCATAGGCCACCTTGTACTACCTTCCAACCACCATTAGCCTCGACAAACAAGCATGCCGAAGAAGTGTTCCTGATGATATGCGAAACGCGCGTCCCATTTGATCCACAGAATGACTTCAGGCTTCGAACAATCTGCACCTAATTTTAGCGTCTCTGATACTGTGCCTCCTTCAAATTCTGGTTTGAAAACTGGTCCAACCGCTGCAACATATAATGTTTTATTAACTGAAAAAACCAATGTCACGTCAATGCTATAGATGAACGAGACCGGCAAAAAAGCAAGCGCAGTTTCTGCATACGCGATGGCATTTCCTCCATTATGCTACCACCACGTGAGGTGCAGCTTTCGACGAAACGAGACTTACCAACTTCGATTCACACTTCTCCTGCTAGGATAAAGCGTGGTGTTGGATCAACCCAGACCTGTAAGCGCATCCCGACCTATTATACCACTACATTGTTACTCAGATTACCTAAAAAGCACACATTATTTGAGTCATCATTCAGCAGCCCAATGTCGTCTGCGTAATTCAGACCACATTTTTGTCTGGATAGAGGTTTATTTTATAATTCCTATATGGAGACGGGCCATTTTTAAAACCGTCTGGATCTCAAGATTTTGGTTTAACACAGTCCGATAACGCCCGTTCAATGATAACGCTCATCATTCACGAAAACGGACAACCATAGAAGAAAAAGCAATAACCAACCTGGATACAGGGTACCGCTAGCTGCTCGAACGACTGTACATTTACTACATACTGTCCGACACGTGGTGATGATCTTGGGCTAAGCGACATCAGCGAGTCCACACATCTGGCCAAAGGGGCGCGAATATCAGGATTGTCGAGTAGAACTACATCAAAACCAATCCGCCGAGAACGTCGGTCAGGAGCCTCGCGAACTTCCTCGGTTAAGAAGCCCGTTGTTGAAATCCTAGTCTGTTTCTTCAGTTCCGCAAACACCCGAGATATCAACGTAGTCTTTCCAGACCCTGATCAACCAAGGGTATTTGCATAGTGGAAGTGCGTGGGAAAGAACTTTGTCACTAGAAGGTTTCTATTGGGTTGACAACAAGCAAAGATTGATGTGTAAGCTACCTGTTAAAGTTGAATAAGACTGGACATGGGGTAAATGTGAAAAGTATTGAGAAAAAGGACCGTATTCTTAAGTTTTATCAGTCAATCAAACTATAGTCGTATTTACTATCATCCTTCCGTCCTCATGGTTGTTTAGTGTGGCTCAAATAACATAGGACGAGAGTTGATTCGCCAGTCGAGTACTGCACATTACGGGCCGGTAGTCTTCAAGTGGTATTAGTGTGCATTAACTTGGAGGCGACAAGTTCGAACCCCAGTATTGCCGATCAAACTGGTGCTGGACAGCAATCTGCTGCCACCTGGCTCGGGACCACGCGTCACTTACCGCGACTTTATGAGTGAATTCTCATCGCTTCAAGCTCTGGGGTCAGGTCGCTGACCATCTATAACAGTACAGTGGACGCTTGAGGCTTCACTGCACTCATACAAAAACATGCTATAAAAAGTAATCAAAAACTGAATGAATATTAGGACTGGAATGGACCAAACTGAATTCGGTCATGAACGACTACAAAAATCTTAAAATTCTCGTGAAATTCGACACTAATAAAAATGACTTCTTTCCTTCTTTCTTGGGAAGTTAGGGACATTGTCAAGTCATTTTAAGCACAAAATAAAGTTTGACTGAATCAATGGATCGGCCTCTGTATGACTGGGACACAAAAGAAAAAAAACCTTATCAATGCAATTCACAAGTCCCAACCAAATCAGAACAACACAAAGTTTGAGTAGTACTAGAACTTGCACCACTAAGATCGAAGTATCTCTTTCCTTACAATTAACATACCAAGATTGGAAACAGTTCGAAAATTACTTTTTTCTCTCTGAGTCACCCGACTGTGGATATTAGAGCAGAGGAAATGGAGTGCGCGCTGTCGCGATTGTCATCATATAGCGTTTACTAATTTCCATATGATTCGGGGTTGTTTCATCCCACCACATTTCCAGACAATTCAGGCGAGTCCTGCTTCACACGCTCACGGATGCGTCGGTTTATCATCAAACTGGATAGTTCATAAATTGTAAACATATACACAACGCGTTGTACTCTGAATCCTACTTTGACCAATGTCAAGTACACTAACTTGAAAATTTATAGCACTTACTGTCGCACCGATGTTCTATTCTGACAGTTTTTTCTAAGAGAACCAAGGTGGTGAGTGTGAATAGAAATAAACCACCACACCTCTCTGTTTTGCAAAGGCGTTCCATGTTCGGGGACACCGCCTGACATTAGAGCTAATATACTGAAACCAAAAAAAGATATTTTGCGTTTACCATTGAGGAAACTAATGTTGGTGGAGTTTATATTCAAACTGATGGGATTTTTATCCAATTTCAAATTATAAAGAGTGCATCTCATCGTTACGTGTGATGTTCTCAGACCACAAAATTACCGATCCCATGTAGAATACGAAGCTTGCTGAAGAGGTAGGACTTTATCGCATTCTTCGCTTTGATGTCCGTCCGATTAAGTGGGAAAAAACGCATATAAGATATCACATTTTATCCTAGTCGGTCATCCCATTGTAGGCATTCTCGGGAAAGATAATTACCAGCAAACCCCAGCAGTGAAAGTGAACGCAATTAGGCCGTGCTTCCGGGAACCGGGGATATCCGACAGCCTAGAGGTGCATCCCGTATACGTTTCAACAAATAAAAAGTGATGCATTCTATCTGCCTCTGTTATATGATAATCGGAGAAGGAGTCTTTGTGGGATGGAAACGATCAATGAGGGATATCATCAATATCCTCATCATACAGCGTTAAACAGTAGGGCAAGTCCTACTGACCACTGCCTCTATCACCATGTTGCACGTTGAATTAGAAAGTATGAATATACAAGATGGATAGGGAGTGAACCTACAGGGATGGGAAAAAGAAACAACACCCTCATAGCTAACACACGGAATACACAGCCTAACTGTTCAAATACACGCTGATCAATCACTCTGATTCGACACAATTGGATAACACGATCGCCATTGTTCAAGGTTCGCTGCCATATCCTACAGTGTCTCCAGCCAACTGGCTAAGGGATCTTTTGGACCCCAAACACGAATACGTAAGACACCTACTTTTCCTGTGCATTTTCCCATTCCCCGTTGCCACGTCACTTGTTGACGTCCACGTGGTTTCTTCCACTCCCTAGGAGGGACGGAAAACAAAGCACGGTACGGTAGACGTGTGTTTGCCATACGTAACATATACCCCAACCAACGAAGTCTATTAAGCTGGATACGCTGTGATAGGACATTCTCTGAGCCGGTATCCTCAGCATTGCTCACTCGGTCATTCTATCGAACCATAGCGATACTACGCAAATATCAGAAGTCAAAAGCCCTAAGACGACGAATATCTCCTGGACACAAACCCCAAGTCTCTCAACTACGCAACAGAACTGGGCGCACCACGTCACAGTACACACGACCTTTCAACTTCAGTGAAACACTAAGTCGGGGTCACAAGTGCTTCGATCCACCGTACGCCGTTCGAGCTTTGGGTATACGCGTGCTCACCCCTACTACAGTGCTCCCACCCGTCGTCACACTGCTGCTGAGGTAAGTAAAACGGTCGGCAACTGCCAGCACCTCTTCATCGAGCATCAAGCTCGGAACTGTTGACGTACAGTCTTTTTTCGTTACATGCTTGTGCATGAGTGAAGTGGAAGGGGCAATCACCCCATGGCCACGAAGGCCCGCTACATTACTTGGGGGCATCCGGTAACCAGACCCTCAGGCTTGGAGTGGCGAAGAACCACGTACGGTCCCAAAAGGTCAGTAGGTAACAATCCGGACGACAGTGGATTGCTGTCTACCACCAAATTGACCAGTGATGGCGGGGGTACGAACCTCGGACCGCCGGGGTAAGAAGCCAACGCTCTAAACCACTCGACCACCACCGGTCGACATCACTCTACACTTTGAAGGTGCAAAGCGCATGCCGAATGGAGCTACAGCTTTTGTCAGTCTATCTGGCGCATGCTGCGCATGTTCCATACATTTGAACAATCAGACAAGGTCTTCGGCATAATCTGGGTCGCAGCTTCCCACCACTTGCTAGTTCGACGCCCACATCCTGAAGACTTCCCTAAGCGCTCTCCATTGTCTCGTCGACGACGAAGTTGAACAGAAATGGAGACATGGAGACACCCTTGCCGAACGTCACTCGTCGTTTTTACATGGACTGGATAGTTCATCATAAACCCTTACACGGTCAGAAGTATGAGGATACAATGATCTCAGTTGATTCAAGAACTTCTATAATATACCTTTTCCGTAAAGAGCACTGAATGGCGCTGTTCGGTCAACTGAGTCGAAGGCACCTTCCAGGTCGAGGAAAAACATTATTGTCGGTCGACAGTGTGTGTGGTGCGCCTCAAGTAATTGACGAAGAGTAAAAATCTGGCTGATGCATCCTCGACCCGAGCGGAATCCTGCCTGTTATTCACGGGCGTTTCTCTCGCGATCCGGTGTCAAGCGGGGTATCAAAATCGAGGCTAATACCTTGGTGATCATCCGAATTAAACTGATCCCGCGATGATTACTACTATCATTGCGTATTCCCTTCTCGAAAATGGGTACAATAAATAACTCGTCCCGTAAAAGCGGAATACGCTTCTCGCTCCAAATGTCACTGTGCAAGGTGGTAAGTGGTTTTATCAAGGCATCTCCACCCAGTTTGGAAAAAAATGTAGGAAATTATATATCTATATATAGTGTTTCCTAAGTTATGAAAAATCATTAGGGATTTGTCCAAACCCATTTAAACCACACACTGCTTCGGGCTACTTTTATGCTTGTCAGTAGGCAAATTACCGAAAAATCCACTTGGGATGCGAGTGTCGACCTGATTACTTAGACCATATATATTTGCAGACTGACAAAATTCTCGCCAGTAAAAGTTGCAACGGAACCGAGATTATCGATGGGTAGATACCAATATTTATTCAGATGTTCCAGAGTCTGCAAGGTTATGGGGCCAGTGGTCCAGATTGCTTTCCGACAGTCTTATTTCATGCGGTAACAGGTTAATGTTATTAATACCAATTCCTTTTGAATATATCGGACAATTACAAAGTTGGATCTGTCGCACTAATGACAGAATGAAAAGTACGATCTACATGGTGCATGTAAAATTCCGTGGAGGCATGTAAAATCTTATTGCAAAAGATCCCTGATGTGAACCATGATGAGTATTAACACTCACACAATAGATCAGATACTGTAACCTCTCTAACGCTATTTTTTTCTATTGCTCATCGCAAACCGTGTAGTGTCATGATTTTTTCAATGATAAGTTGATGGATTCAGCTTTATCAAGCTGTCAAACAGATATGGATGGTGATTACTTTTGTTCGTTTCGATGGAATACAAAGTAACTGCAATTATTGCGTGCACGATCATTTGCGCGTATGGTATAGCATTCAGCATAATTCGTGTTACCTTTTTATCAGCGCTAGAGCGCCAAAGGGGCCCAAGAAGACACTGGCTCGTAGTAAAAATCGAATAACTTGATTTTCATAGCAAGTTGTTGAAGTTTCATGACTTTTCCAGGTGATAAGTTCCACACGTTTCCTTCAAGTTTCGCTGAAGTCTGTTAGTCGGTTGACACTCTAGGAAGGCCCAAATTGCTTTCCCGGACACTAAAACGAGGAGTCCGCTTGGACTGATTCGTCCTCGCACAGGCTGATAATGAAATCCGATGCCTTCTTACGTCATTTGATTGTACCGATTCAACTTGTGACCCAATCCGTCTGTGTAATGTTGGTGGGTGAAAATCTTTACGAAAAGCGCCAAAGCATCCCAAGATTTTAAGTGGTGTTCCATAATTGCATTCCATTCCCCTTATAACTTTGGTATACTTGAAAAGATCTTATTATTGGCTTTCGAG